AATAAGGGTAACTTAATATTATTTTTATGTTGAATAATGGTTAAGTAGGCAGATCTCGCAAATGCGGTAGATAGTCTAAAACATGCGTATCAATGATGATTGATAAGTCTGTTCATTAATTAGTCTAATCATATGAGACGAAAGCACCCCTGGCTTGCGAAATAATTGTATTGTATAATTTATTGGTGCAAGTTGTTCAAGGGGGTATTTAAAACATGGACGCATAAAATGGGTACACCAAATTTTTTGGGGAAAACTTTTTATTCGACAACAAAGAATGAAAAAACAAAATGAGACCCAAGTAAAAAAGATCTGACTAGTAACATAAAAGTTATGGCCGAAAACGAAGGCAAACTTCAGGTTGTGGCACTTGTTTGTAATGCGACGATGGTTTCTCGCAGATATTTGAAATTCTTCAAAATCGTAGGATTCGTACTTCCAAATAACCACAACAAAATTGGAGTAGTTTGAGTTTTTGAGAATTTCTAATTGTTTATTCCAAAACACCTGTTTTCCGGCCATCACTACTAGTTTATTGAGCAATATACAGGGTTAGTTCAAAGGGCATTTTATAGCAAAATACAAAAGTTTACCTTGCCGACGAATCACAAGCTATTCCGAAAGATAACTATCATTTTTATGCGAAAGACAAAGGGTTGCGTTTTTTTCTTCAAAACAAATTCAAACATTTCGTATTTGTAAGTACTCGTAACTGAACAAATTTACAACGATATTCGTCTATTGCCTTTTGTTGCGAAGAAAACAATTTTTGTCCAAAATTTCTTCCTACTCTTGAGTATATGTACATTTTCAAAGCTGACATTTTTATTCTGTCATAGTTGAGCCCCAAACTGAAGACACAATGTTTCAAACTGTCTTAGGCCCATATCGTCAGTCATTCCTACAATTGTAGGCCTCCTTGATTGCAATTCTCCTTCCTCTCCTTCAAAAATTTCTAGACTGCACCCGTCCCGTGTCAGCGTCAGCGCTCTCCTATTGTGAAGATATGTCTTCTTTTTAAATTGTAGGAAATTTCAGGCTGATAAAACATGATATAACTCAAAAGCAAGCACAATTTGATGCAAATAGATATTTGTGACATAACCTCAAAATAGAGTGCTGCCACGGTAAAGTAGAAAACTATGACAATCAAGGAGGCCATAAAGGCGCCCTACAATTATAGAAACGACTGACGATACGGGCCTTAGACTAGTTAGTAGGTAGCATGTGCTAAATGACTTTGTCAAATAAGTACGTCACGTAATCCAGTTTCCTTACGGACCCCGGACGTAAACTCACTCCGCCGGACGTAAACTCACTCCACTCTCGGAATGTCCGGGTGGAGGGTGGGCTCGAGGGAACAACATCGAAGATAAAATTTGTTTTTCGAACATCTGCGGGATCAACAGCAACATTGATGCTGTTCATCACTACCTGCAATCCAATCTTCCCGCCGTGCTTTTCTTGGCGGAGACAAAAATCTCAGAGGCTGCACCGATTAACCATCTCAACTTCCCAAACTACGAGGTGCACTCCAATCTGAGAAAGAACGGGGGAGTTGTGGCTTTTGTCCGCAGCAGTCTTTCCTGCTTCAGGGATCTTTCTTTGGAATCAGACCGGAAGGACATTCTGTGGCTTCGCCTCAACTCCAAAACATCACCCAAATTTATTTGCTGCCTTTATCGCTCTCCCTCGAACCATAACTGGGATGACCTACTCGAATACCTCGCCGTCCAGATCGACTTCCTGAACATCAATCACCCCGCTTCAGAGGTAGTCCTTCTCGGTGATTTCAATGCCCATAATGAGCTTTGGTTGGGCTCAAATAAGACCGATGCAGCAGGTCGTGCAGTCGAAGCGTTCGCTCTTACTCAAGGGCTGACCCAGCTGGTGACGAGCCCTACTTTTTTCCCCCGCGTCTCGTCACACGCCAGTAGCCTGCTGGATCTCTTTCTGACCACGCATCCTGCCCCTTACAGCACTGCCGTCCTGTCCCCCCTGGGTAACTCAGATCACGGTGTTGTGGAGGTTAGGTTTCGGTCAGAAGCCGCTGTGGCCGCAGAAACTCGCACAGGCCGCAAAACTTGGCATTACGGACATGCCGACTGGGAGGGGCTCAGAGACTTCTTCTCTAGCTTTCCTTGGAGAGATGTCTGTTTCACTGACGCGGATGCGTCGACTGTCTGTTCTTCAATAACCGAAATTATCCACGTCGGAATGGAGGAATACATCCCTCACACAGTGAAAGTTCCTAAACCAGGGTCCAACGGCTGGTTCAACAAATCATGTGACACTGCTCGCCAGCAGAAGATCAAGGCCCACAGAACCTACTTACAAAACCTCACTGTAGAGAACAGACAAGCCGACGTCGAGTCCAGAAACAAATATAACGAAGCGGTTCGCAATGCCAAAACCCAGCATGATATAAAAGTTAGGCACAGGGTAATGTCGCAGCGCAATGGCAGTCGGTCTTTCTGGACGCTGGCCAAGCAGATTGAAAAGAACTTCTCACACAGTAGCCTTCCACCACTTACGTGTCAGGATGGAACTGTTGTATTCGACTCAAAGGCCAAGGCGGAAGTGCTAGCCAAGATCTTTGCTGCCAACTCCACCATGGACGTCCCCACCAACGCCCAAGTGCCGTCAATTCAAAGGGTTCCCCACACTATGCGGGAGGTAACATTCAGGCATAAGACCGTAAGACGAGTGCTCTTGTCGCTCGACATCAACAAAGCTTCTGGTCCGGACTTGATTTCTGCCATTGTACTGAAGAGATGTGCAGCTGAGCTTGCTCCAGTTCTTTCGCATCTCTTCCAGATATCTTACGAATCCGGCACCTTCCCAGAAAACTGGAAATTTGCTCATGTACAGCCCATCCCAAAAAAGGATCTAAAACCGACCCTTACAACTACAGGCCTATAGCTCTGCTTTCTGTTATAAGTAAAGTGATGGAGATGTGCATAAATCGCGAGCTTCTGGACTACCTCGAACGTCACAGCTTGATTAGCGACAGGCAGTACGGTTTCCGGCACCAACGATCCACAGGGGACCTCCTAGCTTACGTCACGCAACTGTGGAGTAAACTCATCCAGTCTCATGGTGAGGCTCATGTCGTTGCTCTTGACATCATGAAAGCGTTCGATCAGCTGTGGCACGCTGCCCTCTTGAGCAAACTTCCATCCTACGGCCTCCCAGAAAAGCTTTGCAGATGGGTGGCTGACTTTATCTCTGGCCGCAAGATATCCGTCGTAATTGACGGATTCTCCTCTTCATCCCACAACGTCAACGCGGGTGTTCCCCAGGGATCGGTCTTGGCTCCAACACTGTTTCTCTTACATATCAACGACCTCCTTTCCTGCACGATCAACCCAATCCACAGCTTCGCTGATGACAGCACTCTACATGCAGGAATTCAGAGTGACAAGCCGATCTCTGCCGCTGAGCTGGAAAAAAGAAGACTAGCGACGACTTCTTCTCTGACAAGAGACCTGGAGGCTATCACTGCTTGGGGACGCAACAATCTTGTACAGTTCAATGCTTCCAAAACACAGTACTGTACTTTGACGAACAAAAAGCGTCCTAGCGCTCATACAGTTTCGATGGACGGTCGAGTCCTACCAAAGAGCCATTCATTTCGGCTGGTCGGAGTCCAGATCACCGAGGACCTGATCTGGCACGAACACATCTCTTCAATAGCTGCAGCTGCTGGGAAAAAGCTAGGCTATTTGTTTAGGGCTAAGAAGTACTTTTCTCCGCATGACCTTCTCTATACAAGGCCCAGATAAGGCCTAGCCTCGAGTATTGCTCACACATTTGGGGTGCTGCCGCCCCGACTACATTGTCCATGCTCGATGCTGTCCAGAGGAGGGCGGTCCGACTGATCGATGACTCTTCTCTAACAGACAGTCTCGGGACTCTTTCGCACCGGCGGGCCGTCGGCGATCTAGCTCTTTTCTATCGCTACACCAACGGGCTTTGCTCCTCAGAGCTGTCTTCCATGATGCCGCCGCGCGATGTGCCTGCCAGACAGACCCGTCTGACTTCGGCGTCCCATCCTAACCGTGTCAAACTTCGTACATCCAGAACTGGCCGATACGACCGCTCCTTTGTCCCGAGGGTGTCTAGATTGTGGAACAAACTACGGGAGGAAGCTTTTCCCAGTTCTACTAACCTTAAGCAGTTAAAAAATCGTATTAACAAAATTTCTTTGGGATCATCATAGCAGCCGCGGTGTTCCGGCATTTAGGCATCTGCCTGCGCGGCTGTTTCGATATAAAAAAAAAAAAGAAATATTATATTTCTTCTTCTTTATTTAGAAAAAATGTGCAGGGAATTATTCCCTGCACCTTTTTTCTAAACGTATTAATATAGTATACGTGTGTTTTCGGATGATATGATTAGACGAAATGTACGTGACCAGAATAGACAAAGGAGTTCGTATTTTGTACACATTTGGAGTTGATCCTAATAATATCACTAGCGAAAATATAGAAGCAGAAATTAGTATTTTTGGTATCACAAATACAACCCTGGAGTCCTGGTTTATCGATTTTAAGCAAATAGTCAAATGACTTCTTCCAAGAGACGAGGTGGCTTAAATTCTGAGTACACCCCTAAAAAGAGATACTACGCAGCTATTCTGTTTTTTATTTATACATTTCTTTTATCGACGAAACCATAACAATCCATTTAACATCCTTCTTACACAAAGCGTTGTCTATATTACATCACACTAGCTTGTCAAGTCGCCGAGTAAAAAGTGATTGATGACTCCGTCTTGGTATAGCAGTCACATTACTCATATTGGCGCAGACTACACCGTCCTCAAAAATCGATGGATTTGAACAGACGGTATTTTATGAACTGTCAAGTATATTCATGCGTCGACTGAATGTGTGTAATTGTACAGTGAAAATGAAAATAAATGTTTCTATACGAGGGATGTCTTTTAAGATCTGCATATTGTAATAAAACAACACGGTAGGTAGTTTTAAATGACTTTATTGGTTTTCGAAGTATTCTCCACGAAGATTAATACACATCTGCATGCGCTCGAACCAATTTTCGAAGCACTTATTCCACTCGTTTGCTGGCAGATCCAAAGCGGCATTTTTGAATGCGTCAACTGCTTCTTCTGGTGACTGAAACCCTTGACCACGCAGTCTGTTTTTAATTTTCGGGAAAGTAAAGAAATCGTTAGGACTTAGATCGGGACTATATGTAGGATGGTCCAATAATTCCACGTTTTCCTCCGTTAAATACTGCCTTGTTTTTTGGGCTGTGTGCGAGCTTGCATTGTCTTGGTGGCGGATGATTCTTCTTTCGGGGTTGATTTTTTGAAGCTCGGTTATGACTTTTGGCATCGCTAAGACTTGCCCACGTCCACGTTTGAATTTTCCATACCAACGGGAAATTGTCGACTGATGTGGCACTTCGTTGCCGAAAACAGAGAGTAACTCAGCAAGGCGTTCTTGTTGCGATAATTGTCTCTGAAACTTGCAATAAATTATGGCGCGAAAATGTTCTCGGTGGAGTTTCATTTTTCTAATGACTTGGTGACCCTTAGAAATTCACTGTAGTGAGAACAGTGCACTTATTGTTGTGGAACTTTGAAGTTAAGTTTACTGAAGAGTGGGGTTAAGATTCAGTACTGACGTTCGATCCGCACGGCCTACTATGTTTCTGTATGCAAAACTTAAAAGACATCCCTCGTATCTTAACATAACGAGTGTCAACATTTCACACCATTAGATCGGTACAATTATTCGTGACATATCGTCGTACAAACTCTAATAAAGAATATACACAGTGTTACCGTTCTTTGGACGTAAGCTTAAGTTAGTTTTGTTGGGAAGTTAGCGATGCTCCAGCAACTTCCATTAGATCGAGACACTTTTATTTTGACATAATACTTACTATCAGTTGCATTCTATTGGGCACAAAAGTGTGATACAAATGTAGGATACCAAGGGATATGATAATAATAGAAATACAGGGTGTTTGGTGCATCGTTTGCCAAATTGCAATGGCGGAAAGAGGAGGTCTTTTTCTATCACCCCAGGTGCCTCAAAGAGTTTTTAGCCCAACGGAATTAATTATGTAGGTTTTTTTTTAGTAAGAACTCCAAAATGTAATACACAAAGTGAAATAAAAAAAAGAAAGAGTATGTCCACCCTTTCTGAGTTTATAAATAAAAAACTACATGCTGCTGGCAAAAAATGTTGATTTTGTAAGATTAGTACAACACCACCCATTAAGATAAACTAATCATTGGTGGACTACTCTTTATTTTTTTTTTATTTCACTTTGTGTATTACATTTTGGAGTTCTTACTAATTAATGCCGTTCGACTAAAAACTGTTTGAGGGACCTGGGGTGATAGAAAAAGACCTCCCCTGTCCGCCATTTCAATTTAGCAAATGTTGCACCAAACGATAAACGTGAAAACAACGTTTCCACCTTACAAGAAGCACTACCCTGTACCATTTCACTTTTATTACAACAAATGTTCCAAGCGACCATTTTACAGAGACAATAGTACAATCGTTTAAGCACTCTAAAAAGATGAGATTTGTTTCTGCCTCTGGGTCAGCCAAATTTTTCTGATTACAGCCTTTTAGAAAACAATTAAGCCTTACATGAAAAAACAGACAGAATGAAATTATATGATCTGCATATTTAATTTGTTTCCTTCAGATGACTCAGTGACTCAATTTAGGTAGCTTTGAAAGGTCGAATGGAAGGGCACGCGATGTGATCTCTACCTTTTGGTTAGCTCAATAAAGATTGTTGTTATTATTAATATTAACAATCACAAATAGTGTTATCGCTAACCTATAATCAGCTAACTTTCTATGACTTAAATGTCGTAAGCGCTAACGCTTATGTATGCACTATTCTCAGTTTCCTAGCTCTCTAATACAGGGTGCGGCAGAGAGGATGGACTAATCATAAAAGCTAATTTTTACTCGAAAACAAATTTATTTATGGAATCAGGTTCACAAGCAAATAGCCTTTGAGACAGTTAAGTATAGTCAACGCCAAACAAAGTGGCGTGCACGTCATCACGATAAAAATTCCCCGACCTAATGCCTAGGTTTCTATCACAAACAATTGCTCTATTGCAGTTTCATATTAATGTTATATATAAATTGTAAAATGGTCATTACTCTCTTATTATGGTTAATAGTCATATAAACATTGTTATTAAAATATCACATAAGTTGCTTTCTGATAAATTTAGACGCATTATGCGAAATAAAATGTTTTGCAAACGCTCCAATCACTTATCGACATGTAAACGCACTAAACCGATTTCGCAGCGTTGACACATTGTCACCTTGAAACTTATTTAAACTGGGAACTGACATTTGTATTAATTTTGACACTGAATCAATTTGTGGCATTTCAAATCTTTATAAATCCTTTGGCCCCGCATACTGTAAATCAACAACTGTTTGTTTCAAAACAAAATTATTCATTTTACGAGTAGATAAAGGCAATTTTGGTATATAAAGATGCCCAAACAGTTAAATAGTCGGTGTAAGGAACTCGTGGCCTCGTTAATGCACTACTTTGAGCAAGAAAGGGACAACAACGGGCCTTTGTTGCCTTTAAATGCTGTTCAAGGGGTAGGTTACTAATAATTATATGTAATGTATATTAATAATAGTGAAATTTTATTTCATTTTTTGTAGCGTGTTGCTGCTGTTTTAAAAATTAATTTAAGGACAGTTAGTCGTATTTCCGAGGGTGTGAAAAGTGATGCAAATTTAGAATCGCCCAAGAAAAAGCGGAGTTATATTAAACGTGTAACCAACACAGCGACATTGGATACAAGTGCCATTCGAGAAGTGATCTATAATATGTATCACAAAAGTAAGATCTTATTATAATAACTTATCAGAAAATTGCATTAATTTGTTAACTAAATTATAATGTCATATTACACATGGTTTCAGAAGAACAAGTTACGATACAAACTTTATGGTCTCGATTAAGAGATAGGGCATTATTTGATGGTAGTGCCACGTCTTTAAGGCGGTTGCTTAGAGATCTTGGATTTAAGTGGCTTAAGGACAATTCGCGACGAGGGCTCATGGAACTACCAAGTATAGCTTTGAAAAGGGTGGAATTTCTAAGGCCTTATACCAGTTTGTCTTCCTCGATGAAACTTGGATATTTCAAAATGGGACCATAGGTCGCTCTTAGCAAAATGGAAACCAAAAACGCGTGAAAGCTATTAAAACAGATGGTAAAAGGTATGTACTTTTACACAATTTGCACTATAAAATTTAAAACTAATATATTTTAGATACATTATATTACATGCTGGAAATGAAAATGGGTTTATTGAGGGTAGTGAAGCGATATTTTCTTCGAAAACAAAATTGAGCGATTACCATGGAGAGATGAACCAGGACAATTTTTTGAAATGGTTTCAACATCATTTATTAGAAAAATTGGAGAGTCCATCTATGATTATACTGGATAACGCCCCTTATCACAGCATGATATTGAACAAAGTGCCCAACAATGCATGGACAAAAAAAAATATCCAAGACTGGTTGACAAATCAAAACATACCATTTTTAAACACAATGTTTAAAACAGAGCTATTGAGTATTGTTGCTCGGTACATAATGCTTCTTAATTATATATATTTTGGTCGACAGTTTATATTTCTTTTGTTTATTCCTATTCTTAAAATAACTGCTTTTTTAGAAACAAACCACCTAAAATATACGTGATTGATGAATTGGCGGAACAACATGGGCACAAAGTTCTTCGTCTGCCTCCTTACCATTGTATATTTAACCCTATTGAGTTAATTTGGGGCATAGCAAAAGGTTACTATAACAGACATATTGGTAGAGATGGTAACAGTGAAAAAGACTGTTTGGATATGTGGAACGAGGCTCTACAAACGGTTACCCCAGACATGTGGAAAAATAGTGTTCGACATACTGACCAAGAAATTTTTAAATGGTATGAAAGAGAACGAATTTTTGATCGACCAGACATCGAACCTTTAATAATCAATTTTGAGAGTGATGAAGATTCAGATTCAGACAGCGCTGAAGAAAGAAACTCCGACTAACTTTATTGTACAGAAAAAGCTTACACCAGTAGCTTACCTAATTTTAGAATGCATTTTTTTGTATGAATTCTGTAAAATAAATACCATGCATAAAATTTGGAGGACCCCATTTGGATTTTTATTCAGTACCTTTAAGCTATCAATTAAATATGGTAGTTTCATAGTGTCATCTGATCAATAATTGTCATACTTAATGATTATGCAAGTACAGATCTATAATTTTATTATACTATTATTTTTGTTCTCGTTTGAGGTTAATATTGCTTATAAACCTAGATATGTAAATAATAAATTTTATTACTTTACAAAAAGTTTGGCAACAGTGTAAATTTTTCAACACACCCACCTAGATGACGTGCACGCCACTTTGTTTGGCGTTGACTATATAGAAAATCATATCAGGCATGTGGTGGCCGAAATCGTTGATGCAGTGCTGGAGGCGTTCTTGGAAGTTCGCGTAGACTCTCTCCAACATCGCTCTCTCAACTTGGGCGACTTCCACGCGAATTTCGCCCTTCCATTCGTCCCGAGTTCGGGGCTTGTTCGCGTATACTCTAAGGCGAAGTGCAGCAGCATGTTTCCGGGCAGATCGAGTCGAACTGCGAAGAAAAACCTGTCGAACGCGTTCAAGATTTTCAGGAGTTCGAACTGTTCGCGGCGCTCCTCTTGGCCTTCTGTTGATCAGTTCACCACACCTGCGAAGGATGGTGTTTCGAGAGGGAGCAGCTCTATTCCAATGAATGTTGAAGTGGCGACGAAACTCACGCTGTACGACGATGACTGACTCATTATTTCGGACGAAACAATCATAGGCGAAACCGCGGTGCTCCATAACAACAACTGGTAAAATAATGCTAGGATCTCACGAGTCAAACGGCACCCTCCCCACCTCTCTCGTAGACTCCGGCAGAGAGTACTACCCATCCCAAAAACGTCCGTCCTCTCTGCCGCACCCTGTATTTATTATTTCACCGCCTAGCTGAAAATGAGGTTGTTCAAAAAGCAACATGAAACCGCATATTTTTCTCGCAAAAGTTCTTGACTGGTTTATTATGTTTACAAGTTCTGATAATTCTATTTCCACTGCCAACACCAGCGAGTTGGTTATTTCTTATGGAACAATGCAAAACTGCAACCGCTCATTCCGATTCAGACAAGTGCGCCCTTTCTCGCGGTGAGTACCTATTTACATAATTTGCATGCCAAATCTCTGCGGTCGAGATCGTTTTGTATAATAGCGTTAGAAAGCGATATTCCTCTATTGTTCCTTTGTATGAGGCTAACATATGCAATCAGCTTTATTTTCCATGTTATCCAAAAAAGTTTGGATTGACAAAAACGACAAGTTACGTTCAGCACATTTTCGTTTCACCGCTTTGACTTCTCTATTCACTTCCTTCAGTTTTCAGAGAAGATGACTTTGGACTGTCTTGAGATCATTTTGACTACAAACTGCTCCGCTTGGACGGCTAACATGACTTTGCTAAAAATAATTTACTTAGCTCACAAGAACTCTTCAGAATCACTAAATACCTCCAACTATCTCAAGCTCCTATCATGGGTTACTGAACCCTTCAATACATGAAGGTCATCTCTTGTTATACAATACCGTGGCCAGCCCGATCACCTGATTTGAATCCTGTAGATTTTTTTACTGGGAAACTGTAAAAGAAAAAGTGTATTTCAAGCCGATTCAAAATGTAGCTGAGCTACGGCAAAGACTATTGGAAGCAGCTGAGTTTGTTAATAACCGTGGATTCGCTCGTTTAATAACCCGATCTTTTTTAAGAAGATGTCGAGCGTGTATTGCGGCTGAAGGAAAACAGTTTGAGCATTTGCTGTAAAGGTAAATCATCATCAGCAGCATTTTGACGCCCACTGTTGTGCAAACAGTTATCCTTAAGGGTCCTTGTGCGTTTTCATAATCGCTGTTTAATTAGGAAATTTTGAAAAATTTTCATCAGTTTTTTTCAAATAAAAATTGTGCATAAGTTAACGAGCAATCTTCTAAGCGTTATACCATTTTGGAATCGTTATTAAATGCGCCAACTTTTAAGGTTACTTGCCAAACTCTCGTAGTACATTTTTTCCAGTACAGCCAGTTAAAGTTGAGCAAAGTTTTACTTTGGAATACTTGGTTGGGAAATAAGTAGCAATTTTTCCTGAACGAGAAAAGTTGGCAGTAAGGTTGAGACACCAGTTTGAAGATGCATTATTCATCATTACATTGTAAAAATAAAATCCAAAAAAAGTTAATATTTGTAGTAACAGGAGTTGACAGACTGAAAGACCTATGATTTTCAAAACACATACATAAAATTTTTTAAATATTTTTCTGATAGCTGTTATGACTTTGCCTATCACCTGGTTTCGGCTTGACGTCAATTTCTGGGACACCCTGTATAATTAGACATTATTTGAAAAACAGCTGATTATTTGCATTTCAAAGCTCCCCGAGTGACACATGTGTGGAATCTGTCAACCCTTGGTCCCAGTCACAAAACATATACCCTGCAGAATGAATGACAACAAGGTGACTTGTGTGATTGCCAGCGGCCATTTTTTGAGGGTGCGACATGGTTGCCAGATTGTGCATTAACATCGTGATATACAGACAAAACTAGATTGCCACGCATGAACAGTCATCAAAAACACCTACCAAATGTAATAGCTAGAAAATCGACCTATTATCTCTATCATTTTGATTGGTCCATTTACATAACTGACCGTCTTTTGTGAAACTGGAAATTCTATGGAAGTTATCCTAATTCTAAAGCACAAAGACATAATATTGCATCTATAATGTACCCTTATTTAAAAGGCAACCATTTTTTCACGACCTCATTCAACATTTCAATAGAAATCACTGATATTCAGAGACCTTTGACAGCTTCTGTCAAATTGCATTTCGATAAGCTATTTTCCCATTGGTCCAAGGGACCGTCAAATATCAATGTTGGTGTAATTGGGCCTAATTGTAGTATATCGGCTCTTCTTGAATGATCTAACTTGTTTTATTTTTATTGTCACGAAAACAGTACACAAGAGTAATTATTTGTACCAAATTGAAGGTATTCGCTTTGCTCTGGTCTTTCCTATCAGATAGTTGCTAATGTAGCGAAATAAATCACCGTTGCCTTTGGTATGATCCTACTGTAAAACGGTCGCTAAATCTTAGCAAAACAGCGGTCACTAAGACCGGTAATGAAAAAGTTGCGGTCAATAAAACGACAGAAAAATTGACGGGTATGAGCGGCGTGATATTTCAAA